ACACACTCTCTCTCTCTCTCTCTCTCACACACACACACACTCTCTCTCTCTCTCTCACACACACACACACTCACACTCTCTCTCTCTCTCTCACACATACACAGGCACTCACACACACACACACACTCCCTCACACACACACAAACACCTTTTTCTTCACACCTTAGAAGAGCATTTCCCAGCCTTGTTCTCCCTAATCAAACTCACCTGAATAAACTGACCAGGCCTGCGCTTCAGAAAAGCATCGTGAGTGAAGTTTATCAGAGAGACCATCAGTGGCAATAGTTCTACAATCTACTGAAGCTTACAAAGCTTTTGAGAAACGCAGCCCAGGTCATTAGCAGAAGTTCCAAGACCTGAAACAAGTTACAGTTAGAGTTAGTCATGTAAAAGAGAAGTTTAAATGAGCATCTGTTGGCATTACCAAAGTATCTGTGAATAACTCTCAGCGTGGTCTCAGGTGTGATCTCTGTGAAGCACTGGGCTGCAGCTGTGGAGAAGGCTCTGCGTCTGGCTCTGCCCTGGAGGGTCCTGAGGTCTCAGCTGGTGACAGACAGCGCTCAGGACGGGACGCTCAACTATCAGCACTGGGTCAACCAGCTCTCCGTCATCCAGCCCAACACCGAGGTGAGCTCAGAGAAAACCAGCCGGCTAGAGACGAACGTAGACCACACTCATGACACTGACGGTTCATACGCTTTCAGGATTTTTATCAGGCAAGCAAGACAATATTTTCCAGAAGGTTCAGTGCACACGTCGAGCTGAATTTAAGAAGTAAAACTCAAACGAAACACAAAGGCATAATTTTATAACACACTCTCTCTCACACATACACAGGCACTCACACACACACACACACAAACACCTTTTTCTTCACACCTTAGAAGAGCATTTCCCAGCCTTGTTCTCCCTAATCAAACTCACCTGAATAAACTGACCAGGCCTGCGCTTCAGAAAAGCATCGTGAGTGAAGTTTATCAGAGAGACCATCAGTGGCAATAGTTCTACAATCTACTGAAGCTTACAAAGCTTTTGAGAAACGCAGCCCAGGTCATTAGCAGAAGTTCCAAGACCTGAAACAAGTTACAGTTAGAGTTAGTCATGTAAAAGAGAAGTTTAAATGAGCATCTGTTGGCATTACCAAAGTATCTGTGAATAACTCTCAGCGTGGTCTCAGGTGTGATCTCTGTGAAGCACTGGGCTGCAGCTGTGGAGAAGGCTCTGCGTCTGGCTCTGCCCTGGAGGGTCCTGAGGTCTCAGCTGGTGACAGACAGCGCTCAGGACGGGACGCTCAACTATCAGCACTGGGTCAACCAGCTCTCCGTCATCCAGCCCAACACCGAGGTGAGCTCAGAGAAAACCAGCCGGCTAGAGACGAACGTAGACCACACTCATGACACTGACGGTTCATACGCTTTCAGGATTTTTATCAGGCAAGCAAGACAATATTTTCCAGAAGGTTCAGTGCACACGTCGAGCTGAATTTAAGAAGTAAAACTCAAACGAAACACAAAGGCATAATTTTATATTGACATTATCAATTGTAAAAATGACAAAGATCAGTATATATTCATACTAATTAATACTAGCCTGTTGAAATTTGTAATTCACTAATCAATGGTTGATATTTGAACCAATGAGCATAACTCATATTTAAACAACTATGGCTTTGTGTAGTTGGCCAGATTAAATGACAGAGAAAAGAAAAACGGATATAAGATAATTTTTCAGTGCACCAAAACACCAAGTACAAAAAGTCCCCATTTTAAAGCATTTTGGCCTTAAATAAAGGAAAACATCTGTGTGCCCATCAAAAATTGCTTGAGAAATGTTACGTTTACTGTCACCCCAACTGTTTTTACGCCCGTGCATACAACTACAAAAGCCGATCATCAATGACCCAAAAGGTCTGTGTATCTGATTCTGGCAGATTGCGAACACGAGCCTCCTGGAGACCCTCTACAAACATCATTCAAACCTGGAGAGCATCTTCAGAATGATCGACACGGACCACTCAGGTGATCAGATCAGCCGTATGAGCTGCTTAATAACCGGTGATGGGTGTTAGAAACAAAACCTAGCTAAACTTCAGTCTAGATCAAACCGTAAACGTGCAGTTAGGTGCATTCTCAGATGAGTTTGATGTGTTCAGGTCTGATCTCGTTCGAGGAGTTTCATCAGACGTGGAAGCTGCTGAGCTCTCACCTGCAGATGGACATCAGTGATAAAGCCATCTCAGATCTGGCCGAGAGCATCGACTTCAACAAGGATGGCAGCATCGACATCAACGAGTTCATGGAGGCCTTTCGCCTGGTGGAGCATTCTAGAGCCGAGACGGACGCGCCGGCGTCGCCCGAGTGAGGACAACACAAACAACACACCGCTTTCCGTGTCGCTCCTCCAAACCTCAAGAGCAGCTGCTGTACGCATCTATACACAGCCGAGTGCTTCCTTGGGTTTTAGTAAAGATGATGGTATTTTCAGTGCTTTCTCAAACACTCATTAAATTGAACACATGAAATTCATACAGTGAAGCTTTATTAATCAATCACAGACACAGTAAAACATTCCAGCTGATCGAAGGCACACAATCACACACGCAAGTAAAAATAAGTGTGTAAATGTGTATATGAGTGTAAATGAGCGCGTAGGCTGCGTCAGCTGAGTTTGCTGCTGCGTCCGTGAACGCTGTCGTGAAGCCCGTCTTCAATCGTCTTGATGTCGTCCAGGTCATCTTTAATGACGCTGATCAGGTGACTCAAACCCTCCTGCTGGTGCTTCAGATGCTGAGAACAAACCACGAGGACAAACCATAACGCAGCGACTGGAACAGAGCAGTTTTGTTCTCTATGGTTTTAAATCAAGCGAGTCATAAGCACAGAGCTGATGTATGAGTGGGTCAATCAGTCGTAACACTCGATATGATGCTGTAGGAATTTAACACACGTGTGCATCAGCTGCCTGAAAATACGGGTTCTTGGATGATTTTAGCTTAAGAAGTACAGTTTATCATACTACTGCTGTCAGATTTTATTCCTGATTTGACATTATTAACACAGATTCTTTTGAGTAGATGGAGCTGAATCTGGATGACTAGAGCTTCGACGTGAACAATTCATGCTTAAACTGACATTTATGCATTTGGCAGACGCTGTGATCCAAAGCGACACTGCACTCAAGCTACTGAATCTATATTTTTAATAATAGTTCATGCATTCCCTGGGAATCAAACCCATGACCTTGGTGTTGCTAGCGAGATCTACGGTTTAGGCTTAACCTATATTAAATGTTCAGTCAATCATATTGGGTGTTGTCTGATCATGGATTACAAACAGACGGACTCGACTCTTCATGACACAGAGAGCATAACGGGACTGAGATACAGACTCAAAGCCTAGAAGAAAACTGTTCTTGACCTGGGTAGTTACTACGACACGTCTAGCTTGTTTACATGTGCACCAGAGACACGGTTATTGTGAGAAATCCATGCTCACGTTTACATGCTCTGTGTTAACAGTTACTATTACAGTTTCTCCAGTTCAGGAGTCTCCTGATTCCTTCAAGGGCAGACGGTCACTCACTTCTGGACAGTGGCGGCTCGTCGGGGGAGGCACAGCTTCCCCATAATTTTGAGGTGAAAACGGGAGGACGACGATTTAATGTTAATAAAATTCACAATTAATTTCAGTTCATGTCTCAGAATGTGTATTTTTTGTTTGTAATTTCACAGTTGTAATACCATAACGTGAAAGCGACGCTTTTCTATTGGGAATGTGCCGAATCTGCTGATGTAATTACACCCGCTAATGATAGAGAAGGGGAGGGGGAGGCCGGGGCAGAGCTGAGCTCTCGTGCCTCCGTTGGTAACAAAAATTAGCCAATCGGCATCAAGTGTTCACTTTCAGCGCTGAGGAGTGTTGCGAAAAGAAACCTCG